AGACGAAATAAAGCAGTAAGAGAACATTAAATTGTTAGGTCAACTTTAAAACACATGTAATCACCTTATTTGTTTTATACCAATGCTATCTGTAAGGTATAAATGCGTTTGGGTGAATAAATGTCTGTAAGAACATCGGATGGACTGTATTTGTGTCATTTTGTTAGGTTAATGCTTCAGCTACAGATGATGTGCTGCGCAATTGTTAATTGGGTTTCTTTCTTTAGTAATGGCATTCATTCTCGCTACATAAGATACCTGTCTGATATGTAGTGCCCTGTTATACTGCATTACTGTGTAATATTTATGGTTTCTATAGCCGTGGCATCATTATGATGGTATGAAGAGATGGATTAATTCATGTAGGACGCCACTGAAGGCCTAGGTGTAAAATGCACGGCCCGCCACTGGAACATATCATAGGGTTTATGAAATGTGTCACATTATTAATTATGTATTTGAGTAATGTGTGATGATGCACTGCATTAAAAAAAAATCCCCCAGTTTACCTCACACCAGAATACGTGCTGTCTTGTGGTTGATTCATAGTCTGGTCATATTTCTTACAGACGGGTTTTGTTTCTGATCTGGGTGGCAGGATTGACCTTGAATCAAGAATCAAACACTCTGACATTGGTGACATTTTTCTCATGACCTTAACAGTTGTGACGTTATTAAAAATGCACTTGCTCAAGGTCACAACTGTAAAAAATAAATACTGTTTAAATGTAAATAAATAAATAATTCTACACTGTGCTTTATATCTGATTATTAGTAAAATATATGATTACAGTAAGATATTTTAAACTAATGTAATGCTTGAGGTTAAACCTTGTGTCTTCGCTCTTAAAATTAACTGGATGATGCAAAGATTCGTTACTCTTCATAGACACACAGCTGGGCTCTGGTTCTGATTTCTTCTGCTGAACTGAACTATAACAGAGAGAGATTAAAGGAACACTAAGTACTTTCATAGACGTGTCTCTCTGTGTGAGCAAATGTTAAAATATCAGATGAAAAACTGAAATAATCACATGATAAACACCATAACAAATATTTCAATTATGTCTGTTAATGAAATATTGCACCTGAAATGTTGTGGATGATCTATAGACTCGTCACTCTTCATAAACACACAGCTGGGCTCTGGTTCTGATCTCTTCTGATGAACTGAACTATAACAAAGAATCCTTTGAATTACTGAATTAATATTAATTATGATTTTTTTTCTTTAATTTTTACTATGTTGATACAGAAACCATAAACTAAAGTTGTTTCATATACTCTCTGCCATAATAACTAATATGAATACCATAATAACATGAATACCTAATATAAAACAAAAACACAATATAAAAATGACACACAGCTCTGGCTCTGATCTCTTCTGCTGAACAGATTTAATGACATTCATTTTAATAAAGGACCTTAAAAAATAAAACATGAATAAAATCACTTCATAAGGAGGCTCTATGGTCTTATTTTTTTAAATAAAATTCTAATTTTTAAGTTAACAAAAAATAAAAATAAATAAAGTTAAAAGGGTGTTTGTTGTGAATATTTAGATCTGGTGACTTTATTCATACATTGTTTCGCTCATTTAAAATCATCATGCGGGAAAATACTCACCCTCATATAAAAGTTGATGTATTTTACATATTTACAATATTCATAGGGGACTTACATGATTAAAAAGTTGTTGTTAAGCGTTAGCTTATTATGTTTATACTGAAATGTTATGAATTTAATTTTCACATTTTTCATAATCTGCCTGTAAATATTTGTATCTCAGGGGATTCGACACCCTTTAAGGGGTATAAATCAAGATTTTGTTTTACATATAGATTCTGTGATCTATATACTTTAGACTTTGTAGCCTATTTCAGAAAATCAGTTCAATACTTCAAACTCTAAAATGATAACTTATTGTCAATCATTTAATCATTATTTAGCAATACTGTATTTAGCTTAGGTCAACAATACATGGATTTTTTTCAGGCATGTGTATATGCATCTATGAAATATGATACTCAAAAAACATATGCAAATGTATGCATAAAAATGTACAACATATACATAGTTTGCTTTTGTTTAGTATTGCATTTCATACATCAGGTTATTATGGCTCATATATGCAATTCATTGCAATTAATTGATTATTGAGAGATACACAAATAAACCTTCCTCAAAAGCCTGTTGTGTCATATTCGACATTTACTTTTTAACATGAAAAAAAAAACAAAAACAAATTAAACAATAAAATATTTTTTAACATAAAAAAAATGATAAATGCATAATCAAGAAAACCCAAGCAGGTTCAGCCCAGTACATGTTCATCTTGAATTATTACTAATATAAAAGTTATTCTTACATTTACATTATAAAAATCATGAAAGATATGATAGAGCTAATATATTCATAAACAGAGCTAAACAGAGGGCAGTCGTGGCCTAATGGTTAATAGAGCCGGACTGCTGGATGCGAGAAATGCAGAGCACAAATTCCAAGTATGGGACACTTTCACTTTTACATTACAGCTAATTATTGTCTAACAATATTATAACAAATGTTTACTCCAAGTTACGAGAGAATAAAAAGTTCTAAAACTAAATGCAGCTACAATGTTGTAACACGCATCGACTAACAAGCTTTCTGTTTTCAATCAGTTTATTCCCGCAAAGTGGCGACCGGGATACAAACATAATTAAAAATAAAAGTCATAGTTTGAAAAAATAAAATCACGAATTTGTATTATTTGTGTCCTAATAAGATCGAAAATAGCAATAAATTAATTTGTTGATGTATCTTTATAGTCCTGCTCTTTTTAGGGTTAATATAATATGTTTTCAAAGTACCTGCATCCTAACGCCCGTTTCACACTGCACCCGTAAGCAGAGCAGAGGCAGAGCAGAGGCGGAGCAGAGGCGGAGCGGAAGCGGAGCAGAAGCGGCACGTATGCAGAGCAGAGGCAGAGCAGAAGCGGCACGTATGCAGAGCAGAGGCAGAGTAGAAGTGGCACGTATGCAGAGCAGAGGCAGCGCAGAAGCGGCACGTATGCAGAGCAGAGGCAGCGCAGAGGCAGAGCAGAAGCGGCGCGTATGCAGAGCAGAGGCAGAGCAGAAGCGGCGCGTATGTAGAGCAGAGGCAGAGCAGAGGCAGCGCAGAAGCGGCACGTATGCAGAGAAGAGGCAGCGCAGAAGCGGCACGTATGCAGAGCAGAGGAAGAGCAGAAGCGGCACGTAAGCGGCACGTATGCAGAGCAGAGGCAGCGCAGAAGCGGCACGTATGCAGAG